TAAGCTTTTGATATAAAATGTCCACATTGTTATAAATAAGCCCATGTATGTCTTCATATCGATATGCCACGCTTCTTAATAAACATTGTCAGACTTAAACTTCACACATACACATATACATTCATACATACATGCGATCAGATGGAACCTTGTTATACTTATAAACACATAAACACATATAAAAACACATAAACACACATAGATACATATTCTATAACAAACATACTTTTCTATACATTACATAAAAATTTACTCATATGCCTTTACATCTGTATACATTCTATATAAATATACACGTATATAGATATACACATATAAATTTGAATACACACATATACACACATACATTTGTATATATTGTCTATAGGTATTCACATATACATTTTAACATACACATATACACACATACATTTGTATATATTGTATATAGATATACACACATAAATTTTGATATACTCATTTGTATATATTGTATATAGATATACACACATAAATTTTGATATACACATTTGTATATATTGTATATAGATATACAAACATAAATTTTATACAACATCGTATGAATATTGTATATAGATGTGTTGTACATCTAACTTTGTACCACACATAACTTTGTGTATATTTTATGTATATATATATATATATATATATATATATATATATATATATATATCTATGCATATTTAAGCTCAGTAGAAATTCGTTGAAATACTAAGACATGAATGTGTGTGTTTGAGTCAAACGCTTGCAGATATGTGTATTGCATACATTATCAGTTTTAATCAAATTTATTTAGAATCGGAAACAAGAAGTTATATTATTGATTGTATGCGACATAAATTAATGTAACATTATTCACAAACAGATGAATATTATTAATTAATTAGATAATTATTTAGACTTAAATAACTAATTAGCGATTAATTATGGATATTTAGTTTTAATATGATTAGATTGCAAATTAATGAATGATATTTTTTTTAGCTTTGGAAATTTTTTTAGTTCGTTATGTTAACTGTTTGGGTAAAACTATATATATAATTTTAATAGTAATTAGAATTAAAAATTTGTGATAACATTCAAATGAATGAATGAATAACAAATAATAATAATAATAATAAAACAACAATAATAATAATATTATAATAGTAAATATTACGATGATATTGATATTTGTTGGCGTTGAATCGAACTAATTGATGAATAGTCGATGAGTTTTGAAGTTAGGCTAATCTTATATTCTTATTAGATACAAAAAAAACAACACTGATTTTTCGGTGTATGGCTGTGAGGGTTTTATTGTAATTTTTTAACTATAAATTCATTTATTTGTAATATATTTCTACCCATTTATCTATATATCTATGTATTTATATATCTATGTATCAAAATATCTGTGTATCTATATATCTATATGTTTCTGTATCTATATATCTGTGTTAACCTATTTGACAATTTGCTATTAAAATTTTATACACTGCTACGCAGTCAATTGACATCAAAATTTACTGCTGAAAAATTTTGATAATTAAGATTTCAAATTTTAAATTTTGATTTTTCAGATTTGAATAGAAGGTTTGGGTTAATTTTAATTTAAACTAAGATTAAACACTGGTTGTTAAATACTTTTGGTTAACTTGACAGAACTTTACAACTATAAAAACAGCTAAATGAATAGAAATGTTTGTTGATTGATGCTTACTTGAAACGGATTATTTGATTTAAAAAAATATTAAAACCATCAAATTGAATGAAAACAGTACAATTGTCAATCTGAAAACATCCACATCACCGGCACTAATCAGAAATGACGTCATCCTTGAAAAGCATATTCACGAAATACAGTTTCAACAAAAACAACAACAACAGCAATGGTAAGATATCTTCTTTGAAATCAAACAACAACCACAGCAACGTTAATTTTGATCCGGAAGGCGGTGTAGTAGCTTTCACAGCTCCCGCTGATAAGCATGCAGTGGCGACATCAGCTCCACATGAACACAGCACCCCACAATCTGCCGGCATAAAGTGTTACAGTCAGACATCGAACGACAGTGCATTCAGTAGTATGGGGTGTAATCTGGTTGATCCGTGCGGGGTTTACGATGGCGACTCAATAACCTCGTTGGATCAGGATGGCAGTATCAGTGATAGCGACGTTAACAAAACTTCGCTAAATACCTTCGCTAATTGTACAAAAAGTCACGAAAATTTATTCGATCGAAAAGAATTATTTGCAGGTAACATTCTCATCGAAGAGAGTCCTTCCAACTTCAACGACAGCAAGTTGAACGGCTCTCACAAGGAAAGCATTAACTCGAGCATAATCTCCATCTTTGATCCGACCAGTAAACAGTGCAATAGCTCGCTGGAGAACAGTCAAACAAGTTCGTGGATGAGCAAACTGACCAACGCATCGGCCAATCTGACCACATCATCCCGTCTTTCGCTAACCAGGTCGACCTCCTACGACACGAGCAACAGCAATGAACAGACGGAGAAGGCGGCCAGCCTCGATTACGACGACGATAAAAGTAAGAAAGGGTTTCGAGAGAGATTGAAGAAAATGTCTCGAAATAGAATTCAGCCTGGGTCGACCAAAGAAAAATCGAAGCAAGAGAAACACGACAAACTTGTCGTCACCAGCCCACGGCTCGATATTTCGCCAAAAAATTACAACCAGTCTGTCCCGGCTATGGAGTTGAGTCGAAGAGAAGTGTGTGCACGCCTGCCTTTCGTGATTGCTCCTGATACTGATTTCGAAGTGAGCTTGCTGTTTTTTGATTGAATGTCAGGTATCGATGTTAATCACAGATATTAATATTTTTTGATTTGTCTTTTAAGCCGATATTTAACTAAATAATTTGTAAAGTATATCCTAATTTATCAATGTAATCAAACTCAAGTTGTTTTTAACGTTGTTCTGCTCGCCACCTACAATACAATACATAAACGCAAATAAACTTTTAAAATGTTGAACGATATGTTATGAAAATATTGAAATCACATCTCGTCTAACAAATCGACAAGCGACAGCCAACTTACCTGAGCCGTTCATTCATTCATTCATCCATTCAGTTGTAAAATAATCATCATCCCAATGGTAAATGGCTTCAAAAGAAAATTGAATGCCTCCACATCAATTGAATACCGAATCTAACAAATGAGCAATGCCAGATTTATTAAGATAAGAGGTGTTAACATTTGTGGCTAGCATGGCACAAGTAACGGACCCAGCACTGTTATAATCCATTACAAATGTTAGCGTCTAAGATAGTATATAATACGCTACAGTACCCTAAATACCTTTTGAAAACCCTTCAAATAAATTAATTAATTTTAATAATAAATCGTAATTCTCAAAGTTGGATTAAAATCTATCAAGGATAACAATTTTTGTTTTATTTTCTCAAATTGATTCTGTAATGGGTGGTGGTGTTTGCAAGCAGCAATATGTGGATAACCTTAAGGTATGACACGAGATATTGAGATGATTGACATTAAATTTAAGTTTATTCTTCTTCATTTTATTTGATAATGATTTGTTTGATGGTTTGCACCTTTGGAGATGTTTGAATTTTGAATTTGAATTAAGTTCTATGAAAACTGCCTTCTACTTATGACAAACATTTATAATCCTGTAAGATGTATTGGGTAGTTTTCAACCATTCTATGCATGAAATATGATCATATAAGCATTTTAATTTGTATGGGATTTTAAAATCGGAAGAAGTTTTTCTGTTTTCAAAATTGAAATATTTTCAAGTTCTCATAAGTGATTTGGAAGTTTTAAATGAATATGTGAGTTTATGCTATTTGGTTGAAATTTGATCATCTCATTTTAACGTATGAACGTTTATTTATTTGATGAATGATTATTTATTTTTTGTAAAAATACACACACACACCACACACACACCACACACACATACACATACACACATGCACACACACACACACACACAGCATTCCTTACATTCATGTTTGTGTCTGGTTGTTCCATGTTTTTGAATATTTTAATTGAACGAAATTTTAAACTGAAAAAATTTTAGCTTTATTTAATGTCATTTTAACCAATGGTTTCCATTACATTTAGAAAAAAATATTTTATGAAAATTTTCAGTACTTTTTCACAAAAATTTTAAATAAATTCACGTGAAATTCAATATTTCGTTGATCCAGTTTTAGAAATAATCATGAAAATCAACCAATTTTATTCAATTTTTTGATTGACAGCTAGTACAAGCTGACCCATTCCTGAATGAGAAACTTAAGAAGCAGTTTCTCGCTCGTGATGACGACATCCAATCAAATTATTTCTGCCTCATACAACCAATCACCCGAACGAAAGATCATATGTCAGTCTAATAATTTAACTTTATTATTATTATATTTATTATTTATAATAATAGTTAATTTATAATTATTTTTGCTAAAATTAAAATTATTGTTGTTGTAATGTTGTTAAAACGAATGCAAATGTATCAACAGACATTTTTAACCATTGAACTATTTCTACAAAATTCCAATATTTATTTTATTTATAATTGTTTAGCTTCAGTTGAATAAATATTTTAAATATAAATAATATAATATAATAAAATAATTTAAATAATATAATATTTTAAATAAATACGTAGGGAGTTTTCAGAAAAGATTTATCAGAAATGCGTTTTGAGAGGAGTTGCCAATATGGTTGGTTAAAATTTTTAAAAATTTTTTTCGTTCATAAAATTGTGAATAATAAAAGAAATATGAATGCTACTTTTAAATTAATATGATTACTACTGCTAATAATATTATTAATAATTATAGTAATATTAATCATAATAATATTAATCATAATAATAATCACAACGTCTTTCGAGATTATGGGCTATTTATATGTTATTTGCTTGTTAGCTTGCTCGCTCGTTTGTTATCCTTAATCTTCTAATTTAAATTTTTAATTATTTTTAATCTTCTGTATAATTTTTTAAGGATAGTCATGACGTCATATTGCATTCTTACATTACGTCACATTACATTACATGCAGTAATACGTTATTACTTTACATTTTATTACAGCTCGCTTCTGTAATAATGGAAAATTTTTAGCTTTTAAATTAAATTTCAAACAACCAAACAGATAGTAGAATGTAAATAATATTAACTTTGAATCTGTCGTTCATACACGCACGCACGCACACGCACACACACACATGAATATTAATGTAAATTTCTATCTTTGTGTGTGTATATATGCGTGTGTCTATATGTTTATAGGTTTCCACACACACACACAAAACACATAAACATTAATGTATATTTCTGTCTTTGTGTGTGTGTGTATGTATGCGTGTGTCTATATGTTTGAAGGTATGTACGTATGTTTGAAGGTATGTACGTATGTTTGCATATGTTTGTGGGTGTGTATATGTGTGTGTGTGTGCGGGCGTGTGTGTGTATAAATTGTCTTAACTGTCAATCATTATCGTTTATTAATTTATCGTTTATTAACGGCCTTTTATAGAGATTTCTATCTATATATACATTCGATTAGACTCAGCCTTTTACACCCATTATATTATTATTATTATTAGTAGTAGTAGTAGTAGTAGCAGGAGTAGTAATTGTTGTTGTATTAGTATTAGTATTAGTAGTATTAGTAGTGATATTATTATTATTATTATTAGTAGTAGTAGTAGAAGTAGTAGTAGTAGTAGTAGTAGTAGTAGTAGTAGTAGTAGTAGTAGTAGTAGTAATAGTAGTAGTAGTAGTAGAAGTAATATATTTTAATAGAAATGTTTCCATAGTTTTTGGTAACATTTTTCATTGATTTTTTTTTTGTTATATTTAGAGTAATTGGCTAACCAACGTTATCTTTATCTACTTTCCCGCCTTTTCTGTTTTTGAATGTCTTTGGTAACTAAATTCTTAGCGATCATTTGTGTGTGTTTGTTCTTGATTAGAAACACACGCACACGCACAAACACACAGACACAAACACACACACACGCACACACGCACACACACAAACACACATACAAGCGATCAATAAAATATAAGCACACATATACATACAAACACATAGATACATACATATATATATTTTATTGGTATATATATATAACCAATAAAATGTTTGTGTGTGTTATCTAAATCTAACTAATTTTTAATGGTTTTATTCGGTTGATTTATTATTATTATTATAAATATTATTAATTTTTCTTAATTATTAAAATATTTTATTGCATGTACGTAAGTGGTGAATTTCAATTGGTGTAAAGTTTTGATGGGGCTAGTTTTATTACCTGCAATGGAATGTTTTGTACTGGCAACAGCCAACAGACCAGCTATGCCCAAAATCTTTTCGTTATAATTGTTGTTATTGATTTTATTGTTGTAGTTGTTTTTAGTGTTTTTGTTTTTAGGAATGAATGGATGGATGGATGAATGAATGGATGGATGGATGAATGAACGAACGAACGAATGAACGAACGAATGAATGAATGACAGAACAATTGAAGAAGCTTTTATATTGATAAATGAATGATTGAATCAAAAGGAATGAAGAAACAAACGAAAGACTTAAAAAATGCAAATTACCTGAATACACGATACAACGAGAGAACGAGCGAATGAATGAAGAAGTGAATGAGTGAGTGAATGAATGAGTGAACGAATAAATGACTACAAGAACACACGAGTGGATGAATGGATGGGAGAATGAATGAGTGAATGAAACAGCAAAATGAGCTCCATAATTTGAATATTTGATATTGAAGCCACAAGTGAATTGATTTGTGTGGTCTTCGTCGTCGTCATCATCACTATAACTGTCATCATCATCGTCATCATTCTCATCATCCTCCTCCTCATCCTCCTCCTCCTCCTCATCATCATCATCATCATAACTTTCATTATTTCGTCATCATCAACATAATCACCACCACCCTATCATCATCACCACCATTGTAATAATCATCGTCATCGTCATTTTTAATACCAATATGACGTCATCGTCGTCGTCGTCATCTTCGTTGTAATCGCGTTTCACGTTTTGAACTATTTAATTCGAATTGTTGTTGTTGAATTGTTGTTGTTCATGATTTATAAAGTGTGTATTTATGTATGTATGTATGTATGTATGTGTGTGTTGTTTGTATGTATGTATGTATGTATGTATGTATGTATGTATGTATGTATGTATGTATGTATGTATGTATGTATGTATTATTATTATTATTATTATTATTATATGATCATTTATATAGCGCCTATTAAAAACATTCTCATAGGCGCTTTACAACTATGGCAATTTTCTACAAGGAAAAAAGATATGTCTTCAATTGACTCTTGAACTGGGGAAGAGTCAGACCAGACCGGCGCAAAAAATATGGAAGTTCATTCCATTGCCTTGGTCCATAAACAGCAAAACTACGTGATGCAATTTTTAATTTAGTAACCGGGACCACTAACAAGTTTCCCCGATCTGATCGTAGGTTAGATCTGTCAATCAACATTTCGGACAGATATTGCGGAGTCAATCCGTTTAAGCATCTATAAACCAAAACACAGACTTTAAAAACAATTCTTTTGTTGACCGGCAACCAATGTAATTCCGACAGAAGTGGGCTAATATGTTCAACACGACTAGCACCAACAACAATTCTTGCAGCTCTATTCTGAACCATCTGCAACTTAGCAATCTCGTGTTTCGAAACGCCATAAAACAAACTATTACAATAGTCCAATCTAGAATGTATGAACGAATGAATCAGAGTAACCATGGTTGATCTGTTCAAACTCTTTTTAATTCGATACAATTGCCGCAATTGAAATGAACAAGATTTTACCAAAACCTTTATATGGTCACCCATACATAGATTTTTATCTATTTTAAAACCCAAAACTGTAGCCATTTTTCCAAAATCAATAATCATGTCACTTATTTTCACAAAATCAACGTTAATCCTAGAGGTTTGCTGCCAAGTTCCAACTGGTACCAGCTGAGTTTTTTCCCGATTCAATTTTATACCATTCAAACCCATCCACCCATCCAGTGCACCCAAACAATCCAACATTCTTTCAATCAGAAAATCAAACTCCCCAGTCGCCGCACTTGCAATTATCTGAACATCATCTGCATAAGCAAAACCCTTTAAAGAAAATTCATCAATGAGATACATAATATCGGCTGTATATAATGTAAAAAGAAGCGGGCCTAAAACAGACCCCTGGGGAACCAGACAAAACATCAACTGTATTTGACCAAGAATTATTATAATAAACCTGCTGGGTACGTTTGCACAAATAAGATTTGAAAAATTCCAAAGCTAAGTCACAGACACCGTAACTTAATCGACGTAACAGTGTATCATGATTCACACAGTCAAATGCGGCACTCATATCAAGTAGAGTCAGAAGAGAGACCTGATTGCGATCAGAAGCCTCAAAAAGTTCCGACAATACCTGTAACAAGGCCGTCTCCGTCGAATGAAAGCGTCTGAAACCAGTTTGATTATTCGGAAAAAAGTTATTATCATTTAAATACTTTAGAAATTGTTTATGAACAATTCTTTCTAAAACCTTCGAAATAAAAGTTAAATTCGAGACAGGTCGAATGTATGTATGTATGTATGTATGTATGTATGTATGTATGTATGTATGTATGTATGTATGTATGTATGTATGTATGTATGTATGTATGTATGTATGTATGTATGTATGTATGTATGTATGTATGTATGTATGTATGTATGTGTTTGTTTGTCTGTATCTGTGTTTGCCTTTATGTGTAGTTATGTTATAAATACTTTAATCGGTTGTTGCCGTCAAAAATTATTTCAATAATTTCGAGTATTTGTTTTAATTCTTTCATTGTTCACTCGTTCATTCATTTCTTCATTCATTCATGCGATAGTAACTATTCTTATTAGTTAATTATCAGCAAGCACACAACACACACACACACATGCACACATACACGCGCACACACACACATACATAAAAAAGTTGAAAAAAATCAATTTTACAGAAAGGCAACAAGCTTTGTCATTTGTTTCTTTTCCAAGAATTTCTCCTGATTGCTAAGCAAAAGTAAAAACAATTTATTTATTTATTATTAGCAGTAGTAGCAGTGGTAGTAGTAGCTGCAGCTGCAGTAGTAATAATAGCGGCAGCAGCAGTAGTAGTAGTAGCAGTAGTAGCAGCAGCTGCAGTAGTAGTTTTATTTTTATCGTTAATTTTTCATCAACTAAATTCTACAAAACCCCATTTAGTAGACTGGCCCAGACATTCAAGTTGAAGTACAAGATTGATCTGTCAATCATGTGGCTAACGGAAAAGGAAGTGGAGTCAAGCTTTGAGGGTGGCAGCCAATCGGAACAATCGACGCTTCTGATTGGCTGGCCGACTGAGGGCAACGTTTGTAATTTGTTTGCTCACTTCAGCCCGACTGAGAAGCAAAAGTGGTTTGATGCTATTAATAGGTTTGCTTGTTTCTTGTCTTTATGCCGAAAAAAATTAT